AGTAACGCAAATAGTAACTTGTAGTATCCCTGATAGTCACCCTTCAAGACACCTACTGTAAACCAAGACACCTAAACCCTAAACCCCAAACCCTAAACCCCAAACCCTTATATAACCCTAAACCCCAAACTCTAAACCCTAAACCCCATACCCCAAAAAAACCCAAACCCTAAACCCTCAACCCCAAACCCCAAACCCTCAACCCCAAACCCCTAAACCCCTCAACCCTCTTCAAGAAAATCTCATAGAAACCCTTGCAAGGGGCGCCCGGCCTTCGCGCTCTGCGGCTCCAGGATCGCTGCAGGCGAAGGCTTCTTGAGCTTCGGAAGCATCACCAGGCCTTTGGGGTTTGGGGTTTTGGGTTTAGGGTTTTGGGTTTAGGGCTCAGGGTTTAGGGTTTAGGGGTTTAGGGTTTAGGGTTTTGGGGTTTTGGGTTTAGGGTTTAGGGTTCAGGGTTTAGGGGGATTTAGGGTGCAGGGTTTAGGGAGCTTCTTGGGGAGGTTTTGGGGTTGAGGGCCTGTGGTTTAAGGGGATTTGAGGGCGTTTTGGGGGTTCCAGGGATTTCGGACTTCGGAATGTAGGATGGAGGGCTCGGGGTTTAAGAATTTTGGATTTAAGGGATTTTCGGCTGGGTAGCTGTTGGGAGCGGTGTTTTTTTGTGCTTCGGGGCTTGACCTGGTGGTTTAGTGCGAAAAAGAGACATGACCATGCAAGGAGGGTTTGGGCTTCAGGAGCCTGAGGGCATGGGGGTCGAGAACCCAGGCCTTGTTGTAATCAAAAAAGCACGCGAGACAGTCATAGATGATCATCTGGACGAGTGGCCCGCTTGAAATTTCCTCTGACGGTTTCTGGGTTGGGGGCATGCAAAAGCCACACCAGGCCCGGCGGGTGAGTGGGCATTGGCAAGACCAAGAATTTAGGGTTTAGCGGATTAGGGGTTTCGGGCTGGCAGGGTTGATAGGCGCTATTAATCGGGGTTACATCAAAGCAGTAGTCAATGATCAAGACCTTAGACACTGCCACGCAAGCGAGCTGCTAAGGGATCTCTTGCGGTTGAGGCTTCTCCAATGGGCCCTGTGGGATGTAGTCGGGTCATCGTGCGTGTGGTCTGAATATCATGCACTCATTGAGCCGGAGTTTCTGCAGCTACCGGTCGGTTCCTCCCACTTCCTCTCTCCCTTCCGAGCTGTGCAGCCGGCTGCCGCAGTAGGCTTGCTTGATCCTGACCGCAGCAAAACCCCAGACCCGCGAGCCCAAGATGCGCACGCGAAAACCCTCAACCCATCCGCTCTAGCTTCCTCAATCCCTCTTGGAGCTTCATGGGTAGTTATAAGTGGGGCTATAAGTCCCCTAATATGGGAGTTTCCGAAATTGGGGGTACCTTATTTAGGGGTCCTTACAATAAGGATCCTACTAGTTAGGGTACCATATTAGGGTCCCCTATATTCGGAAAGTCCCATATGGGTTGTAAGTATAATTACCCTACTTAAAGGTGACAACGCCTGGTGTGCGTCCTGTACGTCCTCTCACTTTTCTGGGGTGGGGGGGGGGGGGTGGGGGGGGCTAATTCCGGCCAGCCCCGACCTGTAAGTCCCAGAACTGCGCACTTCTGTCGCAGGCAGGCCCAAGCTCTAGTTCTGATCGAAGCCATGTTTCCTTAGGGTCATATGCCCAACACACCGGTAATTCCGGTGTGTTCGGCACTTGCTACAACCCACGTCGCCCAAACCATCCATGGGTGGTCCATGTTATTGACGCAGAGCATCCATAGGTCAACCATGTTAACGTCCACTCAGACCAGATCTCATTGACGCAGAGCATCCACGGGTCAACCATATTAACGTCCACTCAGACCAAGTTTGCGCAGCGCGGTGCTCGCAAAAGTGGCTTTTACTGCAGCGCCATCACTTTTTTCGCTAAAACGATCGACCTGTCACAGGGATTCTCCGCCTTTCCTAGCACAACTTTTTAGTCATGATACACGTTTGCCCTAGGTTTCAGCACATTGCCTGTTTCAGCTACGCCACAAAACGCCGGTCACGTACCAGGCGCTGTTACCTACTTAAAGGATCATGGGACTTAGTAAGTAGGGTTATAAGTAGCTTATAATTAGGATAACCCCACTCAGGGGACTTATAACCCCAGTTATAACCTACTTACTAAGTCCCATGATCCTCTAAGTACTTATAACCCCACTTACAACGACCCATGAACCTCCAAGTAGGCCCTAAACCCTATACCCTTATAGTATCCCTATAGATCCCTTTAAAGGGACCCTTGAAGGATCCCTTATAATTGCAACGACCCATGAACCTCCAAGCAATCCCTTCCTCAACTCCCGCTCTCCAGCGCGAAGGTCCTCTGTGGCGCACGCCGGGACCAGGGTTCCTCGGGATCCTCCGCAGGTGATGCGGAACGCCTGAACCCCTCAACCCACAGCCTCTACAGTAGAAGCCAGAAAGTTGGAATATCATTATCGCAACCCCTTTAAGGTAAATTATAGGCGATCCTACCATTAGTCCATATTCCAACTTTCTGGAGTTCCCTATAACGCTTAAACCTACAGCTCTGATGCCGAAGATTTCCAGCCTTCGAACATTCCGGGCACTGCTTACCTGTGGTTAGTAGGGAATCAAGGAACGGTAGCAATAGTAGTTATAATTGTACCCCATTCCTCCATTCCCTGCCAACCAAAGGTAAGACTATCTCCTGAGCAGGTAATTACAAGAAATGCGTGGAAACGGGCTCGCAAGGCAAGAAAGGGATCTGCTTCTCTGTACTGCTCCATTACCCTAAACCCCTAAAGCCCTAAACCCTAAGCCTCAAATCCAAAACCCTTAAAGCCCTAAACCCTAAACCCTATAAGCCCTAAACCCTAAACCGCCTGAAACCCTAAACCTCAAGCCCTCTAAACCCCCTAAAACCCCTAAAACCCCTACAACCCCTAAAGCCCCTAAAGCCCCTAAAACCCCTAAAGCCCCTAAAACCCCTAAAGCCCCCTTAAAGCCCCAAAACCCGCCTTGACCCAGGAGGCGCTCCGCTGCTCGGGCTGCTCCAGCTTCACGATGGAGAAGGCCTGTTGCCCCGAAAGCTCAGGGTTTAGGGTTTAGGGTTTAAGGGGATTTAGGGTTCAGGCCCCGAAAGGGCTAGGCTCTTAAAAGGCTCCTTAAAGGGATCTATGGGGTTTAGGCTTTAGGGTCTACTTGGGCTACTATGAGGGATGTGATATAAGGGTAATCGTACAGGGGGGCCTTAATAGTTAAAGTAGGGTTGTGGGGCTCATTATCCGAAACTAGTTCATTGTTGGGATAGGATTAAAGATGTACATTTTTGTTCCTTAGTGGGGTTGTTATTCCTTAGTGGGTTTAAGTACCAATAACAGTTGGGATAGGATTAAAAATGTACCTTTTGATTCCTTATTGGGTTTAAGTACCCATAAAAATGTAAAATGTTACCCAACTACGACAAAGGAAAGCTCAGCAAAGCACGGGGCAGCTGAGGTGTCGCCGCTAGCGCGAACCTAAAAACCTCAACTCTCAGCCCTTGTCCGAAGAACGAGGGTTTAGGGTTTTAGGGTTTAGGGTTTCAGGGTTTAGGGTTTTAGGGTTTTGGGTTTTAGGCCTGTCCGAAGAACTAAACTAAACCTAAATGCGAGTGTGCAGAATTCTTGGAGGATTTTTCGAAAAGCCGCAACTAACCAGAGGCGATATTGCAATGAGAATCCTTTGACGAAGAACCCGGAAAGGACATCTGGCTTCTACAGAACCCCCACGACCTGAGGAGAAAGAACCCCAAGAATAACGGCTGTCCCTGCACCCCTTCTCAAAAAACAAACAAGAAACAATTAACACAACAACATTCTTATTCTTAGTATTCTGAAGTAAAACTTAGGAACCTCTTTGAAAGAGAACCTCCGCCGGGCCTCTCTCTTTGCCCTCGCGGGCCGGCCCTTTCCGTCGGGCCCCTCACGGCCCGCGGGCGAGCGCCGCCGCAGCTTCGAGGGCGCCGTCGCCACGCGGATCTCCCGATGCCGGCCCTCAGAGAGCTTTCAAGAACGAGGATGCCCTGTAGCCTGGAAATCAAAAGGGCTGCCTTTCTGGTATTGAGTAGCTTGAGAAGGAACCTAAGTCCACAAAAAAGTAACAGATGCCCACTGTGAGACCTAGAGAAGGGTTTCTTAGGGCTCAGCGAGCTCTCAAACAGGGATGGTGCTGAAAAGGATTCGACGAAAGAACCACCTGGGTTTCCTGGCCACGGCAACGTGGCCTTCGGGAAGCTGCGACCAATGTCGGCTGCCTGGGAATTTTTCGGTGCATTGGGGCCACGCCGAAGAGCTGTATAGTTTCTTCTGAGGGCTAATGGTTTAGGGTTCGGTTGAGGGTTAGGATTTAGGCTTAGGGCTTGGGGCGGGGATTCTTGAAGCTCTACGACAGGGCAAGGAACACAGACTGGCTGCAAAGTAGCTGCTAGGGACAACTACCAGAGCCAGAGTCAAACGTGCAACTACTACACCCCAGCCCTACACTGTGAATGTGAACCCTGAACCCTATAAACCCTAAATCCGACAATCTATAAACCCCCTAAACCCCAAAGCTACGCCTCCTAAACTGTCAGAAACCTCGGTCTCCCCGAACCCCCCCCCGAGGGTGGCCCCATGCATCCTCTCTCTCTCTGTAACTGAGCTGTGGGTTTGGGGTTCCCTTGGCTCTTTAGTCTTTAGCTCCTTATTAAGTAGGAATTATCATCACCCCTGGCTCCTTAGCTCCTCCACTATCAGTGGTTAGGTAAGCATAGGCCCCACGCCGAGGCTCGACTCCATCAGCAGGGAATGGAGGAGCTCCGGTGCGCCTTTGGCCCGACGTCTTCCGGGGAAGGGGGGGGGTCCTGAAATCAGAGTCGCCTCATATTGGGGGGCTTTGGGTATGTAGTCCTTTACTAGGCATCTGCTGAAGATTCCGCAAGTTTTTTGCCCCGAACACTCGTGGGATCTCCGGGAGCTCTCAGCTCTCAGGCCGCGGCTCGTATGGGAGGTCTCCAGGGCCTCCGTGGCGGCCTGCTGCGGCTCCTCTGCCGGAAGCTGGCCTTGGCCTCTGCAGAGGGTGCCCAAAGCATTGAAGGAGCCGAGAAGGGGCAGGGCCAGGGCCTTCCTTGCTAAGGGCGCGGCCGCTCGGCGCCGTCTTCGCCTCTTCTGGCGCGCTCTGCTGCACGACTTGGTCGTGCTCTGCATCGGCGAGGTCGCCTGATAAAAAGCAGGCCCCCTTCCTCTCACGCGCACCTGAATACACCTTCCTGGCTTAGGTCCAGGCCACTCAGCGTCTCAGCTACAGCTTGCACGTCTGCACTCTCATGCTCGTGCAGCTCTTGTCGTATGGCTTCTTCCGGGGCATCTCCTTGATGTCAGGCTGCGCAGCAACCGTTAGTAATATGTCTACGTGCTCCTGCTGCACGCGACGCTCCATGTCTCTTCCCGCGCCTGGTCCGTGTGCTGACTCTGCGTCTTCCTGCTGCTCAGGCTGCTCGTTCTTGGCTTCTGCCGGGAGGTCGCCTCAACTAGCCACTCCAAATTTGCGTGTGTACTGCAACATGTCCTTACTATAAGGACAAGGCCACTTGTCGTCGCAGCACGCACTTCTTCGGCATCTATGTCGATGTCTGCGTGCTCCTGCATCACTTCCTGCTCCTGCTCTACGTCTTCCGGGAGCACACCTGCGCGAACGGAGGCACGCGCATTCATCCGAAATACTCGCGACCCACATGCTAAGGACGCAGCCGATCATCGTGTCACCGTCTGCAGCTTCCCGACGCTCCATTTCATTGTCTTCGGGTTCCTGCTGCACTTCCTGCTCCTCCTCCACATCTTCCGCCAGATCGCCTGCGAAGCAAACAAGCCTTCCTTCCCTCTCTTTGAGGTTGCGGCCACCCTTCTCACGACCTACAAAACACTTGCAAAGGAGCTGAACTCAATTTACCTTTACAAAGATAACAGAAAATACTGATGAGAGTACTTGTAAGAAAGAAACTGACAGAGCGCGGCATATTGTCACCCCGAGGCGTCCCTCTTAGTCCTGCAAAACAGACAACAAGAGCCCAGCCTACAGCTTGCCGCTCTGCGTTCTCGCTGTCTGCATACTCCTGGCTCTCCGGGTCAGCGTCTGCCAGATCGCCTGGGTGCAAAGGCCCCGCCCCGCGGTGCGTGCATCCTTCGATTCTGTGCAGCTCAGGATATGGCTTGAGATGGTTTCAGGTTTGGGGTGTAGGGCAAGCCTTGAAAAACGTTTCAATTCAATTGTTAAGGTCTGCGGGGAATGAGGGTGTCAAGTCTGGCCTTTAAGGCTGCTGCGGGTTCAGGCTTTAGGGTTTGGTGTGTATATTTATCGGTTTACATATATATATATATATATATATATGTATATATATATATGTACATAGACTTTATACGTGTGGCCAATATGTATTCGCTCAGGGCATGGCCATGCGTCGCAGGATCCACAGACTGCGAGTGCGCACCATCACTATCCTCGAGCTCCCTCTGCACTTCTTCTTCTTCTTCCCAGGAATCGCCTGGGCGAGGATTCATGGTGGGGCGAGGCGTCCAGGGCGCTTGTGCGACACCGATCGCATGTCGCAGTGGCACGAGGTCGACAGAGAGAATGAGAGAGGAAGAGAGAGTGGGGGAGAGACATGGGGCGGGGGAGATAGACTGTAAGAGACACACCGACACAAAAACGACGTCAAACGAGAACGAGAAAGAGAGAGAGAGAGAGACACAGGGAGAGAGAGAGAGAGAGGGAGAGAGAGAGGGAGGGTCCCGTGTTGCCACGACTGAAGAATCGAGCCTGGATCCCTACATCCAAGACCCAACATCTGAAGACCGTAGGAACCGCACCCTGCTCCTCAAAGCCTCCGCCCCTTTGTCTCGCTACCCGGAGCGCAACACCCATGCCATGCTGCCGGAGTGTGTGGTTGAGACATCATGCTTACGAAACAGAGTCATGACCAGAAGCATCCTCCTAATCACAACCGGGACACCGGTTATCATCATCATCATCATCACGCATCGCCTCAAGCATGCTCATCACAATCACCACCACAGGATGCATTATCGCAATCACCAACATGGACTTCATGCTTATTTCATCACAACCATCTACATCATCTCCATTTCGTCCTCAACCTGAACAGGAAACCTGAAATGGTGGGAGCATGTTGCGATGACCCTGCATGTCCCGCTTATCCCTGCAAAACAGGCGACAAGAGCCCAGCCTGCACCTTGCCCTTCTGCGTGCTCGCTATCTGCGTACTCCTGGCTCTCCGCGTCGGCGTCCGCGAGCTCGCCTGGGTGCACAGGCCCAGCGGTGCGTGAATCCTTCGATGCTGTGCGGCTCAAGACTTTAGGTTTTCAGATGATTTCAGGCTTAGGGTGTACGGTAAACCTTGAAAAACGTTTCAAGATGTAGGGTCTACGGGGAATTAGGGCGTTCAGGGTTTAGTGTGAAAATATTGGTTCACGTATATACATGAATGAATATATGTAAAACTACTACATGTGTCCTATATTATGGCCTTTACTTGCTCAGGGCATGACCAGACGTCGCAGGATCGGCAGACTGCGAGCGCGCACCCTCGCTACCCTCGAGCTCCCGCTGCACCGCCTCTTCCGAGGGATCGCCTGGGCGATTCATGGCTTAGCAGTAGGGGCTCAGGGTTTAAGGTGTGGGGTTCGGGGCGCTTGTGGAACACCGATCGCACGTCGCAGTGGCACGAGGTCGACACAGAGAGAACGAGAGAGGGGAAGAGAGTGGGATAGAGACATGGGGGGAGAGAGATAGACTGCAAGAGACACACCGACACAAAAACGACGTCAAACGAGAACGAGAGAGAGAGGGAGAGAGAGGGAGGGTCCCGTGTTGCCACGACTGAAGAATCGAGCCTGGATCCCTACATCCAAGACCCAACATCTGAAGACCGTAGGAACCGCACCCTGCTCCTCAAAGCCTCCGCCCCTTTGTCTCGCTACCCGGAGCGCAACACCCATGCCATGCTGCCGGAGTGTGTGGTTGAGACATCATGCTTACGAAACACAGTCATGACCAGAAGCATCCTCCTAATCACAACAGGGACACCGGTCATCATCATCATCATTATCATCATCACGCATCGCCCCAAGCATGCTCATCACAATCACCACCACAGGATGCACTATCGCAATCACCAACATGGACTTCATGCTTATTTCATCACAACCATCTACATCATCTCCATTTCGTCCTCAACCTGAACAGGAAACCTGAAATGGTGGGAGCATGTTGCGATCCTAGATGTCCTTCTTATTCCTGCAAGACGACGAGAGCCCAGCCTACACCTTGCCCTTCTGCGTGCTCGCTATCTGCGTACTCCTCGCTCTCCGCGTCGGCGTCCGCGAGCTCGCCTGGGTGCACAGGCCCAGCGGTGCGTGAATCCTTCGATGCTGTGCGGCTCAAGACTTTAGGTTTTCAGATGATTTCAGGCTTAGGGTGTACGGTAAACCTTGAAAAACGTTTCAAGATGTAGGGTCTACGGGGAATTAGGGCGTTCAGGGTTTAGTGTGAAAATATTGGTTCACGTATATACATGAATGAATATATGTAAAACTACATGTGTCATATATTATGGCCTTTACTTGCTCAGGGCATGGCCAGTCGTCGCAGGATCGGCAGACTGCGAGCGCGCACCCTCGCTACCCTCGAGCTCCCGCTGCACCGCCTCTTCCGAGGGATCGCCTGGGCGAGGATTCATGGCTTAGCAGTAGGGGCTCAGGGTTTAAGGTGTGGGGTTCGGGGCGCTTGTGGAACACCGATCGCACGTCGCAGTGGCACGAGTTCGACACGGAGAGAACGAGAGAGAGGAAGAGAGTGGGATAGAGACATGGGGGGAGAGAGATAGACTGCAAGAGACACACCGACACAAAAACGACGTCAAACGAGAACGAGAGAGAGAGGGAGAGAGAGGGAGGGTCCCGTGTTGCCACGACTGAAGAATCGAGCCTGGATCCCTACATCCAAGACCCAACATCTGAAGACCGTAGGAACCGCACCCTGCTCCTCAAAGCCTCCGCCCCTTTGTCTCGCTACCCGGAGCGCAACACCCATGCCATGCTGCCGGAGTGTGTGGTTGAGACATCATGCTTACGAAACACAGTCATGACCAGAAGCATCCTCCTAATCACAACAGGGACACCGGTCATCATCATCATCATTATCATCATCACGCATCGCCCCAAGCATGCTCATCACAATCACCACCACAGGATGCACTATCGCAATCACCAACATGGACTTCATGCTTATTTCATCACAACCATCTACATCATCTCCATTTCGTCCTCAACCTGAACAGGAAACCTGAAATGGTGGGAGCATGTTGCGATGACCCTGCATGTCCCGTTTATCCCTGCAAAACAGGCGACAAGAGCCCAGCCTGCACCTTGCCCTTCTGCGTGCTCGCTATCTGCGTACTCCTCGCTCTCCGCGTCGGCGTCCGCGAGCTCGCCTGGGTGCACAGGCCCAGCGGTGCGTGAATCCTTCGATGCTGTGCGGCTCAAGACTTTAGGTTTTCAGATGATTTCAGGTTTAGGGTGTACGGTAAACCTTGAAAAACGTTTCAAGATGTAGGGTCTACGGGGAATCAGGGCGTTCAGGGTTTAGTGTGAAAATATTGGTTCACGTATATACATGAATGAATATATGTAAAACTACATGTGTCATATATTATGGCCTTTACTTGCTCAGGGCATGGCCAGTCGTCGCAGGATCGGCAGACTGCGAGCGCGCACCCTCGCTACCCTCGAGCTCCCGCTGCACCGCCTCTTCCGAGGGATCGCCTGGGCGATTCATGGCTTAGCAGTAGGGGCTCAGGGTTTAAGGTGTGGGGTTCGGGGCGCTTGTGGAACACCGATCGCACGTCGCAGTGGCACGAGGTCGACACAGAGAGAACGAGAGAGGGGAAGAGAGTTGGATAGAGGCATTGGGGGAGAAAGATAGACTGCAAGAGACACACAGACACAAAAACGAGGTACTGAGAGAACGGGAGAAAGCGAGAGAGAGAGAGAGGGAGAGAGAGGGAGGGTCAGGGTCCCGTGTTGCCACGACTGAAGAATCGAGCCTGGATCCCTACATCCAAGACCCAACATCTGAAGACCGTAGGAACCGCACCCTGCTCCTCAAAGCCTCCGCCCCTTTGTCTCGCTACCCGGAGCGCAACACCCATGCCATGCTGCCGGAGTGTGTGGTTGAGACATCATGCTTACGAAACAGAGTCATGACCAGAAGCATCCTCCTATTCATAATCGGGACACCGGTTATCAGCATCATTATCGTCATCACGCATCGCCCCCAGCATGCTCATTTCAATCACCACCACAGGATGCACTATCGCAATCACCAAAATCGTCTTCATGCTTATCTTCATCACAACCATCTACATCATCTCCATTTCGTCCTCAACCTGAACAGGAAACCTGAAATGGTGGGAGCATATTTTGATGACCCTGCATGTCCCGTCTATCCCTGCAAAACAGGCGACAAGAGCCCAGCCTACACCTTGCCCTTCTGCGTGCTCGCTGTCTGCGTACTCCTGGCTCTCTGCGTCGGCGTCCGCGACATCGCCTGCGTGCAAAAGCCCCGTGGTGCGTGAATCTTTCGACTCTTGTAGGGCTCCAGATGCTTTCAGTCTTGCGGTGTACGGTAAACCCTGAAAAACGTTTCAAGGTTTTTGGGCTTTCGAACGGCTCTTGTTGAGCGGTTCGCTCCTCTTTCTCAGATTCTCTAGTCCATGTCGAAGGGTTCGTTCCTCATTCTGAGGTGCTGCAGTTCTTTTTGAGCTGTTCGCTCCGTCTTCTGAGATTCTTGAGCTGCTCATCACAATCACCACCACAAGAATCATCGTTGCAAACACCAACATCGTCTTCACACTTACTTTCATCATAACCGTCTACATCATTCCAATCGTCCTCACTGTGATTCCTGTCTTCCTCATCATGAGGGCCACCCCCAGTGTGGATCTTTATTCCTTGCGAAAGGGCATGGTAGGGTGTGCCTGAACCCTCTGACGTGGAGTCCACCTCCTGGCATTCGCAGGGACAGCAAGACAAGAATCAAAAAGAGGAGTGAGACACAGCTGCGAATAGCAGCATAGTAAGAGTATGACAGTAGTAGTGGTGGTAGCATTCGTCGTTGTAGCAAGAGTAAGAGGGAGAGGAAGACTAAGGGTAAGAGCACAAAGTAAGAGCAAGAGCAAGAGTAGGTGCTGGAGCAGGAGAAGGTACTGCTACTGCTACTACTGTACCGTTGCTACTGCGACTACTGCTACCACCACCCCGACAGCGAAGAACCTCCACGACGAGGTGGACGACAACGACGACTACTGACTCCTGCGCTACTAGGACGGCGACTACGACCTCCAGAACACCATTCAATCCCACCACTTAGAGGCCCAGGGGACTTAGTAAGTCGGTTATAAATAGGGTCATATTTGGGACAACTCCATCTAGGGTACCTTATAACTCTACTTATAACCTATTTACTACGTCCCATGGGCCTCTAAGCACTACTTCCACGATTCTGGTCGCCAACCTCTCGGGCCGAACACAACAACCACAGCAGCGTCATCATACATCTGGGTGGTTGTCAAAATTAGCGTCCCTTTTTGGGTCCTTAATATAATACGGCACCTAATATTTAGGGTACCCAAAAGGGGACCATAATTTTCACAACTATCCATCTGGAATCCAGAATTCCGGGAGGCTCCAAAACGTAGATCCCTTAATGGGGTCTCCTATAAACTGCCCTTAGTAGTATAGTAGTATAGGGCCCCAAATTAGGGCATCTACTTTCTAGATGCTCCCCGGAATCTGGGGAAGAGGTACTGTGGCATATGGGAAAGGCAGCGACTTTCAAAGCTGGCATAGACCTGACGTGAAGAAGAGTTCCCCTCATGTCCTCCTCGAAATCATCGGGGAACTCCTCTTCTTCAAAGTCCTCGTCATCGTAGTCTTCCTCCAGCGGAGTGAGGAGGGTCCGCGTCCGGGTTTTGGGAGACTAGAACTTCAAAGGATGCGCGGGAGGCTCTGCTTGTGGAAGCTTGAAGGCTTTAGGGTTTAGGGGTTTAGGGTTTAGGGTTTACGGTTTGAGGGGTTTAGGGCTTTAGGGGTTTACGGTTTAGTGGTTTAGGGTGTAGGGTTTCGGGTTTAGGGTTTAGGGGTTTAGGGTATGCGCCTCCTCTGAAGCCATCGCGATGCTGCTGCTGGGTGAGACAAGAATAAAGAAAGAAGTGGAGGAGACGTGGAGCGTTAGGCCTGCAACTCTTGGTAGCGAGCCGGATGGCCAGAACCTGAAGACAGCGAAACAGAAAGAGCGCGACAGGGAGATGGGGGCGTTAACATATGCATATATATATATATACACATCTACACATCTACACATCTACACATATACACATATACACATATACACATATACATATATACACATATACATATATACACATATACACAGCATACACACATACACACGTACACATATGCACCTATACACACATATCACAGAATCTGATATAGGAATAGATAAAGATGCAGATATGTAGATATGTATATATCTTTGCATATGTGTGTGCATGAACGTACGTTTAGTGAGAAGCCACGGAGGGAGAAAGGGTGAAACGTGACCTCTGCACAGCGGGCTGCCGTCTGTCTTTGAAAGGTCGTACGCAGTGAAACTTTGAGCCGGAGTTCGGAAAAGTGTGTGTTACTCCACAACTTCTGCGTCATCACGACGGGTGGTACTACAGGGGGCTGAATAATTAGCAATACTATTTTGGGGGGTCCCTACCATAATTATAATATAATGGGCCCCAAAACCCTATTCTAATTGTTAAGGCCCCTATATTATAGTACCCTTATAGATCCCTTCAAGTAACCCTTTAAAAGGACCCCTTCAAAGGAACCCTATTCTAAGTATTAAGGCCCCTATATTAGACAAGACCAACAGCATCTCATCGCTTCGTCTGCCGGATTGCTCCCATTTAGCATCCTCTCAGACTTCGGTATGCTCTTAAACGGTTTAGGGTTTAGGGCTTAGGCTTCAGGGTTTAGGGAAACATCTTACTGCAAGTTCATAGGATTCAAGAATGGTGTGCGTATAAGGCCTGAAGAATTTCACGGTGTCACTTTCAGGGTTATTTGATAGTATACGCTGATGCTGGATTACTGATCATACGTACTTTCTTGGCACCTGAGGCTTTCTGCTGTTACCCAGAAGAAAACCCCCATTGAGGACGGGGCCTCTGAAGGGCTGGGGTCCCTTTTTCCGCAAGTCTGCACAGAGGAGCGGGTCTGGTTGAGCTTGTCAAGCTCTGAGGTCGTGCTGCTTATGCCGACTACGCTTTCTGACTTGGTTTCTGTAGTGGGGACTGGGGCTGGACACTGCACTCTGAGCTGTCTCTGGCCGCTCACCGCGTCGTGATGAGGCGCCTCAGGTCAGATCCCGCGAGGAGCCGCTTCCGGCTGAAGCACCGCGAGAAGCTTGAGGGCCGCGCTTCACGCCCATCAGCCAGCTCTTGTTGGTGTCCCAATCTACGCTTAACCTCAGAGGAACAGCCCGATCGGGCACGATCCCAGGATCGTGAAGAGAGCCTCTGCACTGTCCAAGACCCGAACTCCTGCTGCACCTTCTGGGCTGTGGCATAGTCTTGGGCCTCCATGGCCTTTGCCAGCTGGAGCACCTGGCGTTTTTGGGGGTTCG